ATATATATTGCTTAGTCAGCAAGGTATTTTGAAATATCACAAATGTAAAATGCCCTTCGAAAGGGGTAGATTCAACATTTTTATTGGTTATAACATTAGTGGATAAATCCGATAGAGAAACAGTAATGAAAAAGTAATGTTCATATGTAAACGACCCCCTTTTATCCCCGAAGGGCACCCCAGTTGGGATATTGAAAGATCCTTTCTTATTGCACATCTAGAAAATAAAACGAACAACGGACCTACATACAAAATTTCAGGCAATGAAAATATAGCGGTTCTGAGAAACAGTGATGAAAAGGTAATTTTCATATATAAACGCGATCCTTTTATCCACACGAGGGGCTACCCAGATTCGAAAAGTATTCCTTAGTGCGCATCTAAGACCTAAGAATAAGCACCTATATACCAAATTTCAGCTTCCTATAACTTACCAGTACGGAGAAACAGATATGAATGAGTGAGTGACTTTTGCATTTTTAAGTACTTATAGATTTACATCATGCCAGCTTTGCAAAATATCTATAGACAATGATTCAAGTCTCACCACAACACAAGTAATTTACGAGCACATCTCAAAAGACGACACTCAATGATGTGTTGTTGTGAAAAAACGACTACTAATAACAGTGAAGAAAGTCCCATGAACAAGAAGAGCAATGTTGTTGATATTGAACCCAAAACCAAGCGCCTAAGTCAACGAAATTTTTGTATAACCAGTATATGTGTCACGAAGTTGTCAAGAAGAAATGGATTGTTAAGATGATATGAGTTGATTTACCTTCATCAGTAGTTGAAAACAAAAAATGTTTAGACTTTTTTACCAAGCTAAACCCCGAGTATCATAATCTTTCAAGAAAAACAGTAGCAGATACTCTGATACCTAATGTTTGTGCAGAAATTGGAGGTAAACTCAATTTGATGTTGGAAGAAGTCGAATGTCAGGGAATAACAACAGATATTTTGTCGTCTGATTTTATCAAGTGATTTATCACAGTGACTTGCCTCTTCGTATACAATGCAATATTATAAAGTAATGTTCTTGAAACACGACTTTTCACTGGAAGTCATACTGTACGTCTTTCCATAGCAATATATCTCCTTCCCAAAGCTTCTGAAATGTTGAATGCAAAAGACTGGAAAGTATTAAATGATTGTTGTCCTATATTAAAACCTATGAAAACTATGATAAGAAATGTTAGGAGATAAATATCCAACAATATCCATGGTCATACCATTAATGAAAGGTGTACAATATGTTATGCTCCAGATATTCTCGAAGGTCTATTCTTGAGAGATATATTACTTGAAGTGATATCAAAATGATTTGAAGGGTGGAGTCTAATAAAATCACTTGTTTCGGGATTGAGGAGAATAGAGAGAAAACTCAAAAGTTAATTTTTGAGGAATTGGAACAATTGATAAGAAACAGGAGATGANTTTAGATGTGTTCTTTTGTATTAAACTAATTTTAATAAAGTATGGAGTTCGTTACGATGAATTCCTAGATTTCTACTAGGCAGAGATGTAGCTAAATATGACAGTAACACAAAGGATAATTGTGGATTATAATAAGCATATGAGAATTGTGAATCAATCTTCTATATTTGATTCGAACTCAGCTCTTCCAGTTTTTGAAACCAAAGGCATTTTCGATTTGAGTTTGGTTGGGCCAAAGCCCCAATGACTACGAAAAAAAAATGGAAAAAACACGAATATGTCAAAATTTCTTTCATTTTTATTTTTTACGACAACTGTAGCATAGACAGGGGCAACACCAAACCAAACACGGAACCAGGTTCAGTACATAGAGAGAGGGGGTTTCGAAAATAACATGGACTTTTTGGCGAGGGGGTACCAGAAGAAAGTGTGAAGATGTGAAAAGATGCAAAGTTGGCATCAATGACATAGTGACAGCAATGTTGACGTTACTGACAGAGTAACACAGAGTTTGAATTTTAGAGTCAAAAATTATTTTACGAGTTTATGGTTAGTTTATGAACTTTCCTAGTTTGGTGAAAATTTTCATCGTTAATAAGTGTTTCACAGTTAGTTTATTCTCTTTATAGTAAATAGTGTATTAATAGTTTGTTTCAATATAGCCGTGTTTTATGTATGCTGTGTAAAAATGTGTATACAGCAGTGTAAACATTTTTGCCACAATCCCGATAATGGGGAATGTTCCTCGATTTGGGTTATTACAGCAAATGCAAGTTTGAACAAAATAAAGTTGAGTTTAATTCATGAGTTTTTCAAATTTACTTCGAAAAGTATTCAAGCTGATGTTTCAAATGTTGGGTTTTAATTTTTGAAGGGATTTGTTTCTAATTCACATATTGGCAACAGCGCCTAAAATGTTAGATCGGAGTTCAGGTTACCTAGATATTCTACTTTAAAAAAGGAAAATGATCTTTATAAATCAACAATTAAGGCAAAATATAAATTATAGTTCAATACCACCACCACAAGCCACATAAACAACAGTTATTTTGTTATTTATTTATATAGAGAAAGATAGGTTAGGTGCACAAAATGTCATATGTCACAGAATGTCTCGGAACATAAGTAAACAGAACAGCACGCCTCTGAAATATGTCATTTTTGTATGTCTCATATAGGTAACAGATTCATTGTCCTTTATTAGCTATAACCGATGTTGCCAAATGGTGAAATAGAAACGAATCCTTTTAAATATTGAATGCATTATTTCATTCCTCTTTTTTAAGTATTCAAATAATTTTTTAAAGAAAAAGGTTGAAATGATAAGTTTGAAATGTGTTGTTTTAGAACTCTTTTATGAAAACTACTTGATTTTCGTCAGGAGGAACATTCCCCATTGGGTAAGAAGTAATCAAAATCAAAAAGAACTCCTTACGAAGATGCATAGATCCAAAACCCATCGAACACTGAATCATAAGAATATCAATTTTTCCTGGTCAGTTTGTACTCCAAATATTCGTTATGATATTGAAATGGATATCATTTAAAGGAACACTAAGCAATGTAATATATAAAAAAGTATAGATATGAAGTTTTATCTACACGGAAATTTATCATGTCTTTATTATTTTATTCAATTATATACATGTATGTGTACGACCTGAAAGTGAGTCTGTATGTATTTACCTACTTTTTCCGTCTTTATTCTTCGAATGTGTTGAATGAAAGCATTCACTTTTATTTTATGAAAACAGTCCCAGTCTTGCACACTTTTTTCAACATTATGTTGATGAGACATTTTTCCTTGTGAGAATGTTCCAAAATTTATTATTGGAGTATTACATTTTGATACTCGGTGAAATTGCTAGTAATAAAAAAATAAGTTTGATGAATTTCATTAGTTCGGACTTTTGTATGATCGTCTCTCTCCGTCGCCATCTTTTTATCAGGAGAATACTTCTTGTGGAAGTGTCTACAGAAAAAAGACAAGTCCTCAAAATTCCTTCGGTATTGTGATTGTGAACTAATTATGTTGCTTGTGTAGTTTTGGGTCTCCAATGAAACTAATGTCCTTTTTTATATATGTGAGCAAAGCAAAGGTGTATAATATCAGTTTCACCGTCTTCAACTGTCTAGTTAGAAATCTCGTTTCGTTTCTGCGAACTTTACAGTAATGTCATTGTCCCAATATATATTGCTATCCAATTCGACATTATTATTTGATGATGCCGGCAGTTTCCTGTCCCCTGGCAATGGTATGTATGATTCTGGCACATTCATCTTCTTCATTATCTACTGAAAACTCGATAACTAGAAAAATCTCGAAAATAAGTGATAGTCCAACCAGGGCTCATATTAACCACTTATTATTTATTTTTTACAATTCAGTACACTAGACAATTAATTCGACCAATCACATGGCAGTGCCCCCATATGCAGCCACAAATGTCAATGGAAAATTATTTCACATTTTGCTTTTTGATGATTGACATTTCGCAACTTCCCCCTATATGGTAACCGTGGCCAAGCACAGCATCGAAAACTTAAAATCGAATCGTTTCAATTTAAACGAATGAATCGAATAAAACGAATTAATCGATTTTCTGTATTCGATTCCCTCATCACTAAATTTAAAATTCAAATAGTAAACGTAAACAAACAAACATGGGTATCAAACATTTGTGGACTTTATTAACACCTTTTTGTGAAAGAAAACCTTTGTACGAACTTCAGGGTAAAACAGTAGCCGTTGATTTATCATGTTGGATTTGTGAAGCTCAAAATATTGCAGATTATCAAGTCCAACCACGAATGTATTTGAGGTTTGATGAAATGTTAAAAAAAAATATTCAGCTAATATTTGTTTCTTTTGTAGGAATTTATATTTCCGAACTTGTTATCTCTTGTTAATGGATGTTAATCCAGTATTTGTTTTGGAGGGTAAGGCTCCCGAGTTAAAATATGATACAATAACTGCTAGAAATGCAATTCAGTTCAAAGGTGCTAAACCTAAGACTGATGGAGTTAAAACTGGCAAAGATAGATCTAGATTTCATTTTGTACTTAAAAGATGTGAGGAAATGTTATCCTATATGGGCCTGGTCTGTGTAACTGGTTGTGGAGAAGCTGAAAGTTTATGTGCTTATCTGAATGATGAAGGGGTATGTTGTATATTTTACAGAAAAATTATATTGTTTCATATATTCAATATTTCCAGCTTGTTGATGGGTGTATTTCTCAGGATTCGGATTGTTTTGCATATGGGGCAAAAGTAGTGTATCGAAATTTTTCTATTGCATCTCAAGGAGCTCATGCAGCTAGTGGAGGTGCTGTTGATATTTATGATGTAACTAGAGCTTTTGAGAGTATGAGTAAGTAATAAGAAACATTTTTTGATTAATTTTGAAATATTAATCTTAATATATTAGCAGCGGGCATATGCTGCCAGGAAACAACCCGCTTCCATAGATAATATAACAGGTATTGCTTTATATCAAACCGTTTCAAAAATTGATTCATAAAGAATAGTATCATTAATACTTTTTCTTGCTATGACTAATACTTATCCAAGTATTCATTTTTAAAGTATCTTGTAAGAAAATATCCAACTGGTTATGGACTAATACTTTTAATATACTTGTGATGCACTGTTTGGAACCTTTGGTGTAGTAATATGAATATTACTGGAGTTTTATACCAACACCAAACTATTATTTTAACACCTCTACATGTGTATCGATCTCTAAGTGATCATCTTCAAGAGGAAGATTGAACTGGCCCCCTTTTTTATATAACGGGTACATATTTTTACGATATTTTAAAAATATTTTGTGGATATTTTCAGTACTCGATTAGAAATTGAAAAAAATTGATTTTGTAAAGATTTAAGTAAACTTCCTTTTACAGTTTGGTTTCTGAATCATGTATTTATCTCAGTTGACTCAAAATATAGAGGCTATTAGGTAAAAGTTCACTTGAATGGTTGTGTTTGAGTGTTAAAAGAATTGAAATTATGAAATAGTTAATGACAGTTATGAAGTAATTATGATTTTTGCGTGAATTAGGTGTCGTCAAGTTATTTCACAATTCTCTTGTTGGAGAATTGAATATCTTTTCCATGAAACAATTGCAAATCCTATTCTGATCATGCTGAAAAGAATCGATATTCAACCAGGGCAGGGAAACAATACCAGTATTAATTGCCATAACATTTATATATGATGTTATTTTGTTCTCATTTTGATTTGGTTTTCTAGCCATGCTGATATCAAAATGCTTATTTTTTTTAATTAGATATATAATTCAGGAACCCAATTTTATGAATTTTCTCAACAGGATGATCAAAACATTATTTACACTAGAGTACTAGAAAAATACATGTGAGGCGTTTTGAAAATAGCAAAATAGCTATATTATTATTTGAAAAACAAGCCACACTGCTTATATCAAACAGTACTCCAAGTTATGTCCTAACTGAAAAGAATTATTCTATGAAATAAAAAAAATCAATGCAAATGGGACTCCTATCTTGAAAGTTAATAAGCTTTAAATGCAGCAGAATTTTTGTTGCATCAGTTTTTTTGACTTCGGTGTACTTCCTAAAATCAAATCTTTGTTTCAGAATGTTGTCATCAATCACTTTATTTTCCATACAGTTGTTGTATTTTGATTACAAATTCGCGAACCAATGATTCTGTTGAAAAGACAAGCTTTAACATCAACCTCCAAATGAAATTTGTCCTCTAATTTTCTCTACAAATTCTCTTACTTTACTTGTCCTTTAAAGACAGTCAAGTAAAGCAATGCAATTATGGTTCGGTTTAGAACCACAATTGCATTGCTGGTTCTATTTGTCATATGACAAGTTGAAATATTGGTGTCTGGTATTGGATTATTTATGCAATAAAAGCCGCAGAGGAAGACAAAGCGCAAATATCATTTGGAGGTGGCTTAGCAACATACCATTTTTTGGAACCCTAGTATATCATTAAGCTCCACAAATTGAGTCTTCTGTTGATTCGATACATGGCCTCTTCGTAAGGGGAGATGCCTTTTCTTACCCAGGTTACAATCGAGTTCAACAATGGATGCGTAATGAAATCTATGGTAGGTATAAACAGCGCTGTCTGGTGTTGAATCATGAATCTTTCATTTTTATACTGTGGTTTCATTATATTCTTATTTGAAAAATACTATGTACTAATCTGGTTAACGGAAAAAAGATTTTAACAGATCAGTACATCGCCCTGAAGCAATACAGCAAAGTGTAGTGTTATTGTTATGTAGGAGAAATATTTTTGTGCTTTGTTTTATTGGTAAAACTGCAAAAGTGAAATATATTTTGATGCATTTCTCAGTAATATCAATGTTTCCCTTGATCTTTCTTTTTTAGATTTCGGTAGAAATAAAATAATAGCAATGGCATTATTATGTGGTAGTGACTACACTGAAGGGGTGCAAGGTATTGGAAAAGAATCAGTACTCAAATTATTTGATAAAATATCAGATGAAGAAATTTTGGAAAGACTGCGATCTTGGAGAAATGATATTGAACTGTACAAAAAATTTGAAAATTTGGTATCTGATAAAAATATTTGCACATCTTGTGGTCATAATGGAAAGTTACAGTCTCACAATAAGAAAGGTAACTATTTTCAGTACTGCTGACACGAAATAAAAACATGAAATTTATATAGTTTGGTGACGTTTATTGAAAGGTTGCACTTTCTGTGGCACAACAACTGGTTGCGATCCCTTTAAGTTCAGAGAAGAAAGAATGAACATCAAAAACGAACTGAATATAAGAAAGAAAGCATTAGAAGATCCCAATTTTCCAGATGAACGTTTGATAAATGAATTTCTAGTAAAAAAAGATAACATGTCTAGCCTTAATTTAAAATGGAAACAGCCTAATCTGGTTAGTTTTGTGGTAAGTTGAAATTAAAAATATCTAGATGAATGCTATATTTTAAATTTTTTAGAATTTCACTACAAAATTTTTACAATGGGATGAAATATATGGATTTGAGAAAATTCTACCCATCTTGACGAGGTGGCAATGTTTACACCCGGATTTAATCAAAGAGAAAAACCATAAAGGAATTTTATATCCGAAATGCATTAAGAAAATTAGAAATCCAAAAGGTTTGTTTTGAGAGCTACATTTTCATTTTCACCTACAGATGACCATGTGTTGAAAGGGTTATTGCTCCTACTTCATGAGCAATAACTATCCGCTATTACTACCAGTATTTGGAATATTTATAGTTGTTTATTATTCTATTCTTTTTGGCAAAAATTTTTAGACTGGCAGAAGAGTTTTTAGCCATGGAAAACAAACTTGATTTTATCGAAATTTCCCAAAGTTAATTTATGCCCATTGAAAATATCATCTTTGCCAAAGTTTGTTTCAGATAATATCAATTTCAACTTCTCTCTTTAAGTCTCCGAGTTTGACCATAATCTGACACCTTTAACACAGTTAGGAAAAAAAATTATCATTTGTTGGTACTATTTTGACTCGCCTATATTTCCCTTTTACTGAGCTTGTCTTGGAAAAACCTTGTTCACATAAGAACGTTTTTCAGGTATTCCAAGTTATGAAATTATTTGGACAGATGAAGCAGGTTATTTCAAAGGGCTGATACCAGATCAAATGATACAAGAGAATAATGTAGACATAGAAAAACTTTGGTCAACTATCGAACCCCAGGTTTTAGTAGATAAAGCCTACCCAAAGTTAGTTGAAGAGTTCAATGATAGAAAAACAAAATCAAAGAAAAATACTAAGAGAAAAAAGAAAGAAAGTAATGTTGATGAAATTGGAGAGTTGATGAAGAATACTTCCTTATCCGATTTAATTCCTCCAAAAATAAGAAAAACTTCAAATAACAAAAAAGTGCGAAATGAAGTTGAGAAGAAGGAAAATGCTGTAAGGGATATGGTAGTACATTTCGCACAGAAAAAAAATGGACCATTAGATAATTTCCTGAAAACAGCAGTTTTGAACAGTCACAAACAGAAAGATCAAGAAAAGACCGAGTTTGTTAGTGATGAAAATCAGTGTTTTACATCTACTCCAAAGAAATGCAAGGAAGATATTAATTTGTCACGTTTTTCAGATGAAGATAATGATATTGATCTTTCTGATATAGTCGAAAGTATTATTTCACGAAAACCGGATTACATTATTGAAAATTTAAATAAATTTAAACTACAACTTGATGTTGATAATTTCAACAATGATAATTGCAATTCTTCAAGTTTTTTCATAACAAATCCTGTGGAAAATGACATGTTTGAAAAAACTTTTAATGAAGCAGATGATAGCGGAGAAAGTACAGATGAATATTGTTACGATGAAAATGAGTATTTGGAAAATCATAAAGTAACCACATTATCATACGTTAATGAAAATATAATTCCACAATCTGTAGATGAAAAAAAACTACATCAATCACAAATGAGTGAAAATGAGGACACTTGTGATAGTTTCTGTGATACATATATTCCTCTTTTGGAAAGGTTGAAAAACAAAAACAAGTGAAACATTTTTCAACAATATATTATTAAATTAGCAATTGTATTTTATTTGACATAATTTTAATTTTTTCTGCAATATCTGATACTTTTTCTACTTCTTGCGAGTTATTTTTTATTTGTAATCTATCATGTAACTTAGCTGTGTGTTGCTGAAGCCTGTATGCAGTATAGCAAGAGTAGGAACAATATTCACATTTGATTGGTTTTTGATCTGAAAAATAAACAGATTTATTTCAAAAACTTCAAATTTATCAACCAATAAAAAAAATTAAGTGTGATTTGATTCAATACCAGAACTGCTTCCATACCAGAAATGCAACAATTCTCAGCGTGTGTTTCACCATCAGTAGATCAACTATAAAAATTCCTCAATATTGTCTATTTTTATGTAACGGCGTGAACTCCCACTATTTATAACACCCAGTCTGTTTGAAATTATTTAATATTCTGCTTACAGTGGAATAGTGCAGTTGTTTGTCTGAATGACTTTAATTGAATATATCTGCTGCTTCACGCATTAGTTTATAGTTATCTCCACATATTAAAAATAAATCTGCCTTCTCGGCTAACGTTAAGTGTCTTGGAGGAGGCATTTGAAATCAAACTCAATAATCAAACAATAATTATCCAAGAATGAGAAGTTAATGTTTACCAAACTGTCATAATGTTTTGTGCCATTGGTATCCGCAATAGTTCAAATAGGATTTCTTGTAATAATAATAATATCGTCTTTATTATCTTCTAATACATTTAAAGCAAATTAATCAGGTACAGTTCATTTATTATATGAAGATAAAAGGCGAAGCTTAATTTACATGATGACAAGTCGATTAATTTGTACACCTTCTTCATAAACATTTCTGTTCACATCAAATGAACGTTTTTGAATGTGCAAATTATCATTAATGATGTTTTACCTTGCTATATAAAAATATGGTTTGTGAAGTTGAGCTGGGTATCACTGCAACAATCATGAAGTTTGTGATTTCCTGAAGACTTAAAAATCCAAGTTGATTTCACAAATTTTCTTGAATTTGACCAAAGTTATGCTCAACCGATTTGGTTGTGATTATTTTATGGAGGTGCTGAGGGTGATTATAAAAAAAATTACAAATTGGGAAATCATTGATGAAAAAATTTTAAAAATGACTTGGGATGCCATGTTTTGGTATTTGGGCATAACTTTTCTCAATAACATTTTGTTGAATTTCGCGAAGTAAGGGTACTTTACTCCTGCACATCTTTTATATTTTTGACCTGAAATAATATTTTCAATCAGCTCTGTTCCATAATGATTTGTGTGAGCTGTATTGGGTATAGGAACAACTTGATTGGTGAAACATGAGTTGTGAAAAATGTCACAGTTCTAACTCTTGGTATGAAATGATTGGCAAATAAATAATGGCAAAAAAAACTACACATGCTCAATTAAATGCTCATATTTGAAGAATGATGATTGAATAACATGAAAAATGCTAAACGAAAGTTTCTATCGTTACTGCATGTGGACATTTTCAAACTAATACAATAAAATGTTTCTCATTTTTCATGATGATCTCCTACCACGTGGTAATGGCAACATCAGTCAATTTATTGATTGAATAACACTTGATAAACAGATTAAATAATCCATTTAATACATTTTGAACTTATTACAAATAAATTAAAACCTACCCATATGTAGCCGAAGATGTGACTTCAATACACTGTTCTTTTTAAATGCCTTCTCACAAAAGGAACATTTATGGGGTCTCTCTTCTCCATGTCCCAACATATGTTCAGTTAAATGACTGATCTGGGCAAAGACTTTGCCACATTTCATACAGAGAAATGGTTTTTCTCCTGAAACGAGAAAATTATTCTACTTCATACTTAACAAGAACCATAAATCAAGAGATTTTTTAACTTAAACTATTTAACATGGTTACGAATGAATCTTTCAATTCCAATTTCGTCCTATAATGAATGAGAAGTCACTTATGATGAACTTCCACTGATTTCTGAAGATTATCATACTTCTCATAAGGGCGTCCCATTAAATTGACTGGAACTTTGGAAAACGTGTTTAGAATATGATTTACCAAAAATCTCATAGCCAGCCAGAACTCGGAAGTAATAGTTGATTTTGAGTGATGTTAAGTCAGTTAAATCAGTTGAATGAGAACGTTTATGTGATAGTGGCACTTAAGAGCATACATAACAAGTTTTAGCTATGAGACCTTTTGTTGAGCATGTTCTGAGGAAAATTAGTACAAGGACGTTTTTTTTCAAGGACAAAACACAAGCATTACAGGAAAATCCTTAAGGTGCTCCAAGGTCGGTTTCTGTGCGAAAATAGCGATTCACATTGGAATTGAATCGCTGGAGATTAAATCCATTTGGAAAGATGTTCTCAGGAAGTTTATTTCACATAAACGAAGTTCTCCAAATGAAAGAGTTTTTAAACAGTGAAGTTCGGGTGTACTGAGTTGAACTTCAAAACGATGAGCAGCAACAGTTCGTCGCGTATTTCTGATATATACTGCTTTTTGTGGAATCAAATGTGCCAAGTCACTTGAACACTTCCCGTCAAAGTATCTATAAAAGAGAGACATTTCTCCAACATTTCTTCGATGTTCCAGACTATCAAGGTTGCAAGTGATGTTTGTGTCTCCAATCAGGTGGATGGCTTTTTTCTGGATGAAATTCAGCAGCTTCAGGGTATGCTTAGGGGCGGAGCTCCATACATAAGAACAATACTTCAAAGAAGGACTGATCTGAGCTTTATAAAGCATAAAAAGTTGCTGAGGTGTGTACAGTTTTATGGTTCACAACAGTGTTCCATTTTAACCTCCAACAAACTTATCAAAGCAGAAAGCGGAATTGTCTGTCCTGACATTATTATATCCGGTTTGGAGACATTTATCTTTTTGGAGAAAACCGATACCTGGGTTTTCGTTGCATTGATTTGAACCTGGTTACTTTCCTGAATGAGATATGCAACCTCCTGCTGCCGGTGAAGATGTGCATTCGCAGCCGATGTCCTGAAATGATGAGACAAGTGTGCTGTCGTCAGCAAAGCAATATATTGGGTTCTTGCTTTTTTTCAATAAGTCATTGATATACAATAAAAAAAGGGTTGTAGACAATATGGATCCCTGGAGAACATCAGCGATGATGGTGAGGTATTCGAGAGGTATCCATCGACTGCCACTTGCAGGAAACATTCTTTCAGGAAGTTGAAGAGCCATACACAAAAATGATCCAACAAGCCATAGCACCGAAGTTTGTCCAGAAAACCCTCATCATTCAAAATCATATCATCTAACAAGTTACACCCACGTGATCTTTGCTTGTTGTGTTTATTCTGCATAAAAGAAAATCGTTTATTTTATTATAGTAATTACTAAGACTCTTTTTTAGAAATAAATATAATGCAATATGATAATGATAACTTGTATAAAAAGAATGATATCAGGTGCGTTTTCTTCGCATAATTATTCTAGATGTCATTTCCCTCAAAAGTTTTTTGCTATCTCTATCTCTCTCTCTGGTTGATTAAAACATGTCGAGCAGAGTCAGTGAATAATTTTTTATAGAATTTACTCAATCTGGAATAAGGTTATTGAAAATTAAGGCACCTATCATTATATTTGTTACATCAGATTCTGTAATGGAGTTTTGTTGATAACAATAATAGTAATAAAAACATTTATTTCCCTTTTGAAATGAACTTTCTTGTTGAATTCATTAACTGTTGCATTATACATAATCTGTTAAATACTCTTCAACAACTGGAGATTTATTTTCACATACTTTATATGAGTTGGTTTGAAACACATATCACACGGGAAATATTCTTGAAGCAACCATTTTAACTGGGAAGTTAAAAGTAAAAGTGGTCCTGTTGCCACGTATTCCAATGATGCCGTGAGATTCTCTCATACCCTTCAGAAGGCTACAGTTTCCAATTCGTCTATAAATAAGTCTCAAGGCCAAACAATGTCAATTTGTGGTTTAGATTTAGAAAATCCATGTTTTTCTCATGGGCAACTATATGTTGCATGTTCACGTGTAGCGGAACCGTTGAATCTATTTGTGTTAACTGAAGACAGGTTAACTAAAATCATTGTGCACTGATTAGTGCTAAACCAGATTGAAATTAAAAGTACAATTCAAAATAATAAATATTGTTAAAGATTTAGGACTAGCTGCCCTACCTAACTCATCCATAAGTTTAAGTGTCACATGTTATTTACTAATAACTTTGTAATATAGGTACTCATTTGTTACAAAATTGAATGAAAATAATAATAAATTTCAAAATTAATTCTTTTGTAATGATTTTTGCTCAATATCAACTGTACATAAATTTTAATCAATCGTGTTCAAAGTCCTTCCCCTTCAAATTCCAATCCAGTGGATTTTTATACCAGCTTTAACGTTTCCGTCTTCCTTCGTAAATAATAATTTCATTGTACTAAGAGGTTACGGTAGTAGAAAATCTGTCATTGAGGTCGCCATATTTTTTTTACAAATGGCATCTATCCAAAAAAGCATGGTGGTCCCCTTCACTGATGTTCTCCTACCGTTCCTCTTAAATAGTTTACTACAATGTAATATAACGAAAACCTTAGCCACAGCAACGCGTGGCTGGGTCTGCTAGTAACATATAAGTCATTTAAATTTGTGTGGGTGCAGACTGAAAAATATTTTTCAAAAACTAGACTAAGTGTTTATTACCCTTATGTTTGCTTAAATGCATCTTCAACTCTGTTTTTCTGCAAAACCTCTTTCCACAAATGTCACAAACTTCAGGTCGTCCAGTATGACGTTTCATATGAGTAGTTAAAGTAGATTTTTGTGAAAACATCTGGAACAGAAGAGTCAGTTTTTGAAATTGTGAATAGAAACATCCATGAATGACAATCTCTGATAAAAGTGTGTTGAGTTTTCTCGAAAATTCAAATGTAGCATTTCTCACATATAAGGAGCCCAATTATACCCTGAGATTGCTGATTTCTATCCAGAAAAGAATCATCGTGCGGACTTGTATCTTTATTATAGATACTTTCACAGAAAATGTTCGACTGAGTTAGCCAGCTTGATTCCACCCAGAGCAATATACGTCAAAAGTTGGTGACAAAACACATGTGCCTATACCGCCTCGAGGATTAACTTAACACACCTCTAACTACACTTTTTAAGAACTCTCTTTTTTTGATGAACCAAATGAATGAAAACGTGCAATAAACTACTGTTACAAATGGTTGAAGAATAAAATGAAAATTATTCAAGGTAATAATATATTTATATTACGATATGGTACCATTCTCTATTCAAAACTCATTTTTAACATTGGAAGGTGTAACTTCATACTTGATGTCATTAAGGATTTGGAGCTAATATCTGTCGAAGGGAATCTATTATGATTCAGAAGAGTCATCATTGTACAAATAGAATTATTTAGTTCCAAGGACAAATCACACCTGAAATCCCTGGAAGTTGACGATGTGTCACCAACTTGATGTCTAGATCATCTTCTAGATTCATTATCTATCCACACTTATTGTGTTTTTTATTTTATTTTTCGCTAGGTTATGAAAGCATGTGCTTTTGAATGGCAAATTGCAAATTTTCCTCAACAATTGTTGGGAAAACTTATATTCTGTAGTCAATTATTGTCGACTACATAATATCATTTGGTGGATTTGTTGGTTTTCCATTAAGGTATATCGTTGAAATACATATCGAAGCCCTTATACAGGCCATCCATTTTTTTTTTCAATTCAATTCTTTATTTATCTATTCGAGCAAATACAGCTATAGGACAAGTCAAAAAACATATAGACATACAACAAAGTACAGTGAGTAAATTGATAAAATAAAATAAATTATGTACATGCATAATAAGGATTGCAGACAAAATACAATTAACATAGAATAGTGAAATAATACATGTTTACAGGTTGTTCTTTAAAAAATTGATTCATAATAATCTTCTAGGGAGTAGGGACACAGATCAATTAGTATCTTTTTCACTTCAATAAGAAATTTCTGGTTTGAAAAGGATCTATATCTTTGTGGAAGTCGATTATAGAGTCTTAAGCCAAGTACAGTAGTTGAATTTAAGCTAATATTTAAGCGTCTGAAGGGAACGCAATATTTGCCTTTCACAATCATAATTGTGTAGTTCATCTACACGCATATTGTCGTCACGAGCTTTGTGTGTATATTCAAAAGTTCTAAAATGAAAATATCACTAACTGTTAAAATCCTCATCTTTTTGAAAAGGTCACGACAACTATGGATAAATGAGACTCTAGCAATACATCTAATAATGCGCTTTTGAGCCAGAAAAACATTTTGTGCATATGCTGATCTACCCCAGACTGCAATATCATAGTTAATTCTTGATTGAACTTCTGCAAAATAGAATGAACGGAGATGATTCAAATTCAATGTATATCTAAGATTTCTGATTTGGTAACATTTTGAGTTCAGTGTCTTAGAAAGCTGTAGACAGTGAGTTCGAAATGATAAGNTTTTAATGGGACACGTGGCTTCAAAGTTGTAAATCAATGTGTCAAGAAAGGCGTTAAATTTTGAATCAGTATTGTTTACCAAGTAAACCTCTTCCTGGTTTTCCTTCTTTAATAAGGTTACAAAATTATTAATATTTACCTCACTCGTTTCCCTAGCATAAATTGTTGTATTAACAGAAGGTTCATTATCTGAAGGTACTGTAAGTAGAAAATTATCATGGTCTGATTCAGTATTAATATCAACCTTACCCTCACAGTATTCAATATTTGTATATATTTGATCTAGTAAATTTTCACAGGTGTAAGTGACACGTGCGGGAGTGTGATTGGTTGGGAGTAACCCATATGATTCTAAAAGATGAGTAAATTTTAGAGACTGATGTGTCGTCACAGAATTTATATTGAAGTCACCACACAAAAATACGCAACTCCTGTTCTCACATACAGTTTCCATAACCATTATGAGGTATTCAAAAAATGTATCAAAGTGGCCTTTAGGTGACCTATAACAAGAAATAATTATGTATATGTGTTTTCCTGATCCATTTCAAACCACAAATTTCAATATCTTTTTAACTCAGGCCTACTTCTTCAACCCCCTGTCTAGTATTTGGGAACGTACACTCCCCGTTTCACCTTTTCGCATGTCAGTCGCTTATTAGTTGCACCCAGTGCACAAGGGATATTTAGGACATCATAGACAGTACACAGGGTCATACAGTACCATTGAAATCTACCCAGGAACCATCATTCCCACTGCTGAGAAGAAGGACAGTGAGACATCTCAGACCCACCTAGTAAGATCTTGGTGTGTCTGAATCATATGTATAGAGTCTTCAACCCTGAAAGTTAATTTGCTACATTGAGTGCTTGATTAATCAATCCCCATCACTGATAAGCTGTTTATGTTAATTATATTAGTTTAATTACTGAGGATAACTGCTTCCTTCCTTAATAACAGGAAATTTTCCTTGTAGCCTGATCACTCTCCTCTGAGCTACCCTCCCCTATATTCGCGGTGAGGTAGCAGTATCTGAGACGGTTTTTCAAAATGAATATATCTACAGCGGTGTCTGTACTTTCGTACAGAAACTGCTCTCGAAGCGTTTTAGGAATTCTCATAAAAAAATCGATTGATTAAAAATACTAGTTTTCGAACTTACTTTTTCACAGATGCTACATTTGAATGGCTTTTCCTTGGTATGAACTCTTTTATGATTGTTAAATTCAGTTCGATCCGAAAAATTTTTATGGCAGCTTGTACATTTATAAGGTAATGCCCCTTTATGTTTTCTAACATGAAGACGAAATCGATAACCATTACTGAAAAAAAATTCAATGTAACGGTTTGGTTTTTGAAATATTCAAATAATTTTCCATCAAGAATAGCAAGAGTTACTGTCATTACTCATTATAATCTTGTTTAAAATATAATATAAAAAGTAGACAGGTTAAGGGTTAAGGTGAAAAACAGGTGTTAAGATATGCCTAACCACAATTAAGGCCAGCTGAGGGGGGGTAGTCACTGAAAGATTATATTTTACGCTGTTATGCATCTGTTTCAAACCAAGACCTCCATCCAATAATTCTTCTAAGTTTTTAGGTTACCCAAAAATCTGAAATCTACATTTTCGGGTTTTTACCAATGTCCTGGGGAACAGGTATTTACCACCCTGTGTAAGACCCTGTTTTAAGGTTAACTATTAATTGATTTTTTTTATATGGTTATAATGTGTTTAGAAAAAGCGTTTTGAATATCTCACCTAGCAAAAAAGTGAAATATCTCGATGAATTGACCTTAAATGTATATTATGAAATAGAATCTGTATGATTTCCATCAGAGATTTTTTTTTGCTTTGAGGATGTGTTCTTATATGTTCAAATGTCACTAAATTATATTTTAAACCATTACGGAGAATAACAATTTGACTTTTGTATCATGACACTACATTGTCACCAAAGGAACATTTTCAGTATTCTCCAATGAAGTGAGAATTGGGTATAAATATCTGTTCAGTGAATATTTTTGATGGGAAAGCAATGACAAAACCAAGTTATTATTAGTAACAATGCAGTTTAGAGTGGTATTCAAATTGTCATAAAAAAATTATTTTTTACATACAGTTTTGGTACCCCTTATTATAATCCCGATTTTCAAAGAGTTAGTTGTTTTAGGAAGTCCAAAATCATATCATATTTATACCCAAATAGTTGGGTATAAATATCAACCATAGAAGTCAAATATAAATGAACAATCATTTGTCAGCTTTTTGGGTGTTAATATGGATTCAAATTAAACTGAATACATCATATTGATAACATAACATGTGAAATAGACTGAGTAAGGCCTCTTATGCAATAAGAATAATAAAAGAAGCAATAAAATAAAATGCAGCGCTAATAATGCATCATTATCTTTTTCATTCAATTCTCAAATATAAATTCTTGAGCGTCAAAAACTCATTTAGACATATCTGCCATGAGAGCAATAAAGTGAATCTGTAGTAACTTGCAAACTGTTACTCAAAGTTCTAAAAATTATGATTTTATATTCAACTATTATATTTGAAAATATACTGATTATTAAAGAAAACTCAAATATACTTGCAATCTCACAGATATAAAGGAATCGAATAGATTGAAGAAAATTTCGGAATTAGGAAATTCACTGCCACTTCATTGCTGATAGTTACCATGCGAAAAATTCTACAGAAATATAAAACATATTTTGACTACAAAGCTTATTCACAATGTCAATGAATTTTTTGAAATCCTTTAAAGGGATCAAGATATGTTCAAATTGATTGCCTGTCAGGTGTTTTTAATAGTTGAATGAGTCAAAATTTCAATGTGTGTGTTATTGTGCCTATTCTATTTTAAGCTTTCAACTTATGAAATGATGTTTTGAATATTTCAGATAATCTAGGTTGACATATTTATAAAAGTTGTGTTTCTGAGGATCAATAAATATTATTATTATTACACAATGAAAAATCAAACCTATAACTGGAAATATTCTCTACCACCAATGCTGTCAGGATCAGGCAAATGGCAAATGGCGCATCAATCGAAACTGATTGAGAAGCAGTTCTGGAAAATTTAGGGAATTACATTTTGCAACTTAGTAGGTACCTATGTATGGATTCTTAATGGCGTATATGCTTCACTGCATATTTTTGTTCCATTTCTTTGAAAGCAAAACATTTTTTATTGGATTCCTTGGTTTATATTCTATATTCAACTCTTCTTTTATCACTGGGATAATTTTTTAAAACAAAATTCTGATAACTCACATGAATTTTTTTTGGCATATTTGACACTCAAACTCTTTGGGTAGAGAATAATTTATATCAGATGGTTTCTTCACAGCAACAGGAGGTTCATAGTCTTCAACCACAATAAATTTGTCACGTTTGTCATTTTCAGAATTTGGCAATATTTCACACTTTATTATTATACTCTCAAATTTTGTATCCATGTCATTTCTATCTGAGATAACACACTCATGTGATTCATTTTCACCTTCTGTTTTGAAATGTTTTTTACAAACTCGACAACCATATTTTCCATGAGTCGTGAGGTGATACTTCAGTGAACTTGTCTGTATGAATCCTTTTGAACAGTTTGGACACCGGTGTGGTCTGTCTTCAGAATGTATAAGTATATGTTTTCTCAGCCATGATTCTGAATTGAACTTTTTTTTACAGATTTTACATTCAAATTTACCTAAAAAAAATAATTGGTTTTTGAATTAGGACATGGATCTATTACATCAATGTTTTTCCAATTGCCTCATAATATACTTGTATACAGTATGACCCATTTAAATGGAAGCACCCTTATAAAACATATTTCAATCGATTGGATTTTTTTGATTAGGTTGACATTCCAAAAGTCTAATAGAACACTTTGTTTTCAAGGCCAACTTTTATTATTTTTTTATGACAAAAATCACAGCATTGGATTCACGTCATCAAGATCTATTCATCATTAAAAAAGTTGTAAGTGAAGAAAGTTTGAAAAATAATTGAAATGGCGTGCAATCATTGCATCCAAAACAACTAAAAATTATAATGGTAGGAATGCTGAATGGCTGTTTAACTCTGAATGATGTAGATGAAGCGATTGAAATTTTTGAAGGAATTATTTATAATAACATTGTCACATTTCACTGAAGAAAGTAAATCCCTCGAGTTAATTCGGAACTAATTTACCAAATAACATGCTTCATGAATCGAAAAATTCAAGTGACTTGAATGATATTTCTACTTTCCAATATACAAATTATCTTGATGTTGCGATTAGGTCTATCAGGATTGTGAATATTATTGACAGAATTCAAGATTTTTCATCTAATTTTTCCTTTGGTCCTGATGAAGTTCCTACAGTGTTTCTTCAAAATTGTGTATTTATAGCTATACGAAAACAATCTGAACAGCTAAATAAAAGACTAATGTACGGATCTGATGAATTTATTAGTTAATAGCATATAACATCTCCCACAAAAAACATTATGATTAGAACTCCTATCAATTTCTTACCTCTCACTCAGCCGTATCTAGTTCAGTAACTATTTAGTTTTTATGACATTCGAATTGACTTTGTATATACTAAACTATCCATCAATGAAAAAATTTCAAACTACTCGATAAACTGTGATAAGTTCCTCATTTATGAAAACACAGCTTTGTTAAACCTATTTTCAATACAATATTTAAAAAAACAACCAATCCAAAGAAAATCCAAAGTTACTTGGCTACTTTATTGCAAAATATTCATCATGGGAATTTCAACCTCTAATATCGAATGAACAACATGGTTTCATGTTGGGTCTTTTTCAACCACGAATCTTTCACTATACCAGGCCATCATTATTCACGCACAAAGTGTCAAAACTGGAAATTATATAGGTATTAAAAAGCAGAAGTCCCTGTGGTTTGCAATTTGTATATCAATGATATACAGAAGACAATCAAACTTTGCCAGTTCTTACTGTTTGCAGATGATTTCAAACCCTTTGAGAAAATCGAATTACTAATCAACTAAACACTTTTATACAAGATCATAAAAATTCAAAATCTGCATGTTAAATTGCATATATCCTTGAATGTAAAAAAGTTTTTGTATAACATTTTCTAAATCTTTCACCTTTAATCAATTAGTTCTACATCACTAACAGAAAAGAAATTCATGACTTAGGTGACAGTGTAACTTCTAAAGCCCTTAAAATCTTTGGCTTCATCAACTGGTCATCGATTATTTTCACTTGTGATACTTTGAAATTGCTCTATTGCTCATTGGTTTTATCAATTATTGAGTATCATTTGAAATCCTTATTACCATTTGGTCGGTAGCCAAGCGGTTCGGCGTGAGTGCTTTGTTCACTCACTCGAATTGACTGCCGTGTTGGTCGGTGGTTCAAGCCCTAGTTTGAACGATCGATCTTCACTTGCTACCGTCCAACCCGTGTTAGGAATCACACGTTAAAAGGTAAGACCTCGTTAATCCTTAGCTCGCACAAGTTTCGACTTCTGAGGGTTGTCGTTCGTAGGGGTGCGACAGCTGGTTAACGGAAAAACAGATTTTAAACAGATTTTTTTTTAAACACATTCATATAATTTCACACAAACTTAAATTTGTTGGCTGGTTGAATACGAGTGATTAGAAGAGTTCTTCATTCTGCAGTATTTTCCATAGTCATACTGACCGAAACTCTAGCATATCTGCATAGAAAAATCACTCATCAGACAGATGTTCAAATAAAGGTTTATCAACACCTCCTGGTTTTCGAATAGAACTTTTTGGATGCAGTTTTAGTTATCAAGTTTGCACCAATCTATACTAATTCCCGAAATAATAAAAAAGAGTGGGTTTCAGCGATTTCAAATCAGATTTAAGAAATATTTATTTGAAACTCAGTGATCTATTTTATTGTTATCCTAATCGTGCCATGCTTTGATTACAGTGGAACGGATTATTTTATAATAATGCTTTTATAACACCAACTTATAATAGCGATTTGTTTGTGATATTGATGACTTATTCATTTTGTGAAAATTCATCTTCAATTAGATATAGGAATAAAATACTTTGTCTAATTTCCACTTACTTAATGTATTGATATTATTACGACCAAGGTTTCGGTTTCTACATCATTCTCAAGCGTTCTAGCACTACTGACCTAAATAGAAATATCAGAGTATATATATCCGAGAGTAGGTAATAAGAGATATATACCTAAACTCATTAATACCAACTACATAAACTTCAAACTGTGGTTCATTGCGTTGTCATCTTTATAAATTCAAAAGTGGAGACCTACACAAATCTGTTTGTTCGTTAAGGGTTTTATATTTTGAGTTTTTAAGTGATTTCCATGGCTTCAAACAAATTAATTTTCCTTCCTTTACTACATGTATGTAAGATTTTGAGGTTTTCCTTATTTTGTGGTTTGTTTCTTGTAGATGTTCGTACATAGAAGATTTTTTGTCTACACCGATGTGTTCACGGAGTCTTACTTCGAAAGTTCTGCCGGTCTGGCCTGCAGAGCATTCACTATATTCTATTCTATATATGCCAGATTTCTTCATTCTGTCACCTCTAGGTTTTGCAATAAATATGATTTTGCCTAAATTATTATTACTTATGAAAGATGTTATTATGTTGAATTTGGAAAAGTAATTTTGAATATTTACTGAAAGTTTACCTGAATAATTAATGCTGCTATATCTGTATGTATTCTGTTCTTTGATGTGTGGGTACAGTTCTCCCATAATAGTTTTATGGGTTTTACCTGTAATAATCTTTTCAATTAAGGACACAGGTACCTGATTATTGACCACTATTTGTTTGATGACTTTCAATTGATTCTGAAAATTCTCTTCAGGTAAAGGGATTGTGAATGCTCTGTGTATCATGGACCTAAAAGCTGCTAATTTATGTGAAGTTGGACTGAAAGAGTCGAAGGGGGTCCTACAATCTGTGAATGTATTCTTTCGATAGATATTAAATTGAAAACCCAAGAAGTTGAGTTCATTGTTTTGTTCTATTTCTACAGTGAATTTAATTTTGCTGTGTAAACTATTAAGGAAGTTCAAAAATTGGCTAATTTGTCTGTTATAACAGCGACTTTTTGAGGTTAAGTGGAGGAGAAATTAATAACGATTTATCGTTGTAAAAATTGAACTTCGCCTTTTGTTTCCAACTTATCCATATTTGTGTCTATACTTTTCATAATGAAGAAAAGAGAAACGAAACTTTCTATGTTTTTTACCACTTTTATTTGTAACTAACGTTACTGCAGTTTTCCTATACAGACATTTTCAAATTTATACAGTATAAATTTATACAGCAGTAACGGCTACATCCATCAATTTATTCCATACTTTTCATTAACTGTTGAACCTCATCAGTTGTAAACAATGAAGACATATATTTTTATTATTATTATCATATCAATCAGAGAGAGTTCAAAACAAATTTTCAGAGTATGTGCCTTTAGAATTCGTTTCATAAGGAGCGATTATCATTATGATTGGATTGAAAAGTTTTTAAATGTTTCGACTCTAAATGATGGGAGATCCATATATTGGATGAATTTTTAGTTAGATATCAAATAATAGTAAAGATAGTAGAACTCAATATAACTATTTTAGCTAGGTTTCTGGAGCAGTGAGGGATAAAACATCAGTATACCTTTAGTAACTTTTGAATTGTAGTCCATTTTATTACCATCAGAGGTTACTTGTTTATAAATAAAATATTTTTCAACATAATTTAGTTTGGCCTTATTTATTCTACAATAAGCATGACTCATCTACCTGTATGCGATAGAATATGCTCCACAAATCGTGATGATTTTTTTTTATTTCCACAAAAAGGGCAACTATGTTTGCTATCGTGTATTTTTTTGTGTTCAGCAATATTTTCAAATATACCATTGCAATCACGACACCAAATATTTCTTTTCTCCCTGAAATTAAAGTGAAAAAAGACAAACACCATAATATTATATTTGTATTACCTATGAGTACTGAGCATATGTGCAGAGAGAGATCTTCTACTTGTTCCAGAAAAATCACAACATACACAATCTTTACTTGCATTCATTATTATTTTGAATTCCTCTATGACTTTGTTCGCTTCATCAAGTGGTACTAATTTGATTGAATCAGCTCTTAACTTTCTTGTCACATTGGCAGTCTCTAGGGCAGCATGAAGAGGATCTTCATCTGAACACTTAGGGATGATGTCATCTTGAATACTGGTTGCTTCATCAGTAATAGATTCATTTCTTTCATTCTACAAAAAGAATGTGAATAACAAGTTATGTCTACTGTTTGTTTGAACTGCAATATTCTGTTAGATTTGAAACATCAACATGCTCATCCAGAAAAAGTACATATAACCAAAAATAAATCAATTATTTTCTTGTGACAGAATCTAATACAAGTATTATCTTACAAGCTTCAAGTATTAACTACAAATGTTTACAGTTTAAGAATTTGTTTGACATAATTCCTAATGATTATTAGCACTAGGAAAAACCTGATAAATGCAAATGTCTCTGGAAAGGAAGATTTTGGCTTTACACTTCTCCATCTTTATATAAAAAATGTTTCATTCTCCCAAAGAAATAGGGTATCATTTTTTCTTAATAGTAATAATATATATTATGTATAAAAGTTCAGACAGGTGGTTGGGTATCAAAAAAGTAGAAGTTTCATTGACCAATAAGTCAGTTCCAATGAGATGGGTATTTAATACCTCTGGTCTTTTCAACTCAACTTTTTTACTTTGATTTTGTTTCTCTTTCCTCAGCATAGTGCCTTAAAAAATGATGACACACCGCTGTTAGTATGCAAATGATACAAAAATATATCAACTTTTCGGATATTTCGAGGTGATTTGGAAAGATTATAGGTACATATTCCTTTATCATTGATGATCACCTGAAAAATCTGACACCAATCATCTATGATAAATAACGTATAATCATCCGAAAAGTTGATATATTTTGTATCATATCTATATATATTTACCTTCACTTTGCTGTTGAGAATCTGGAGACTTTTGAAAACCTGTTGCACAAAATTGTATGAAAAAGTTAATTTGCCATTGCATATAGTGCAGATAAGTTGCGAGTATTCTGTATAATTGATAAACTGAAATGAAATACTGCATTGAATTCGTTTTATATCCATTATTTCATTTATTACTCACCTCACAATGGCATAACAAGGAGAGTTCATTCAATTTTTCAAAATTCTCTACTAAATTTATGGTGTCCGTTTTCTTTTCCAAACAAATTATACAACAATCCGCAAAGTTTTGTTCCATGATATTTGAAATGATCTATTTTTAACAATTATAAATAAGTTATAAAAATTAAAAACCCTTCAGTTCATTAAAATATGTGAAAAATTGAAAACCACAAATAAATTGAAAGTTGCCAATGTCACAATGTCAAATGTCATACCATAGATAGACAAAGAAAATTTAACCAAGATTCTTTACTCCGAATATGAGTGTTTGTCTTGACTTTTACTACATGAAAAAAAGGGATTGTCGTTTCTACTCTTCGGTTTATCTTATGTCAAATATCTAATCTGTTTTGCGATTATTTTCGATGTTTGAAACTTTGTTAAAATTTGTAATTTTACTAAGTGACTCAGCAAACTTTCTGAATCATCTGCACTTACTCAGAATGTTCGTTTTTGGTTGAGATCATTACATTGATTTTGTTGGAAAAATCAAGATGAAGTTCCCCAGTTATCGCAGAAAGCCAGACACAAACCAACCAGGAGCTTTATCAGAGACACTAAAGAAGAACAAATTGAGAAGTTTTATATTCAATTACAAATAATCTCGTCAATAACTCATCCTGAAATTTTGTATGCAAAACCAAGGTGGATCCTCTGGAAACACCTACTCAACGATAAGCAATTCATCGAAATATTCCGATTATCAAAACAGTTATTTCAGAATCTTTTAAAAGAGCTGGATGCATATATTACTCTTCCGACTAGAGTACCCTCTATTTCTAATAAAATAAAAGTGTGTGATTACCTCGCGCATTTCATGTTAGGTTCTGATTATCATTGTCTTTAAAATAAAAATAATATGAAAATGAAAGGAAATGAAACAATATAGGTTAATGAGAAAAAAAAACAATGAGTATGAATTTTTAGAATATTTCTAAACTAATTCGTGAATAAGACCAATTATTTTTAAAAGAAATAAATGATTGGATTGAACAAAATGGGAAATGTAAATAAAATGCAAACCATATGGATAAAAATATAATGAAAATGTAATGAAGATAATTAATGATAAAAATAGAAAAACTAATGAAAAACAAAAAAGATTTTGAATTGAAGACAAAAACTAATATTTCAGGTTATGATTGCTACTGAAATGATATTTATTTTACCCTAAATTAACTGGAATGAATTCGTGAACTTTTGTTTTCGAAGATATTCCTCTCATTCCCCACCAAGTTCATGAGTTTTTTTCTGAGGAACCGAAATAGAAAGTTTTGACGAAAAGTGTCTCGTCACGATCTCTCATCACGAAATGAGAACTCTGATATCTCCAACAGATGCTATAGATCTATTTGGCTGTTTTACAATAAGTTCATAGCATGTCATACATAAATTGATAAGAAACTTTTCATAAATTTTAGATTTAAATGGACATTACAATATCGTCGTCTGGACTGCAAAACCTCGTATCTGCGTTTTAAATAATTTTACAGGAGAGCAATAAATTTGATTTTTTTTCGAACTGAAATAATGGTCTAAAAGAATATCTCTAATAGCTCTTTTGAATTTATTATTATTCACTGAACGCATCTCTGAAGTCAACTTGTGGTATAGTTTGAAACGTTTTGGATTTTGTTAAACGTAATCGCGGCAACGCTATTTGATAAGCAGATCCAGTACAATGTGCCTGAATATCAGAGGTAAAAAAATTGTTTCTTTTATTTTCGTGTATTTCACAGACAGTTTGGAAAATGTAGGTAAATACATGAAAATATCATCATTCTAAGTTTGATACATACGTCACGGCAGTGCTCTTCAGTATCTACTCCGTTTATGGACAAGAGTGCCTTTGTAAACCAGGTCAGTTTGGTTTCTAAAATCTATTGTTACGATGAGCTTTTAATATTCAGTTGTCAGGAAGTAAACACATTTTTGGGGATTTCTGTAAATTGAGTACCTAATTCTTTACAACCTCTTACCTTTGGTAAAAATATAATGTGATTTTTCATTTCCTTTCTAATTATCTAAGTATTTTTATCGGAATCTCTACAGCTCATTCCATAGATCCCATACTTTTTTTCGTCTCAAGGGTTGCCCAGCACTGGTTTTTTGTTCGCCAGTTTTATAGAAGTCTTAAATTATGTTTATGCAGGTTATTCTGGATCCTTTGTTCTATAGCTATTTTACGAGAATTTCAACTCGTGAAACGGACTAGAATGTTTTAGGACATAACTGTATTTTTTTCTCAAATCAAATGTTTTTTTTCGAAAAAATATTTTTTGAACTTCAAACAATAATTAAGCCAATCCAAAGTTGTTTTCGAAAAGTGGTGCCGCTATATAACACAGAACAGTTTACTATCACCGTACCCGAAGATATACCTATTTATTCAGATTCTCATCAGTTTACCTTTTGTGGTAGTGAAGAAGAGTGACTTATCGGCAAAAGTCAGAACCCGTTCAGGCGGTCAGTAAACTTGTGAAAGTAAATCTCGACGTGAGTGCAAAAACATGCGATGAATACATTTCCTCTATTTTGCTATACAGGGTTCTGCAAAAGTTCGCGGCCATTTTAACTATAGCCGGAGTCGCATTTATGTAAACTATTTTCACAACTATGGTGTAACCTGCAAAAAAATCACTCCTAGAGTAGATTTCAGGAAACAATATAAATATGGGATTTCTTACCGGAATTAATAATATCAATGTTTGGTCAATTGATGGTATTATGGTTGAAAATATGATTCTCAATGATCCCAGTAGAAGTTCTAATGTTTACCTTTTTTTCAAATAGGAAATCTCTTAGAATATAGGAAAATGTAAGGGTTCATTTTTCAAATAATGAACTTGATTTAGTAAATAACAGTCAAGTTTTCTGCAAATAGTTCAATGTGACACTGTGTCAGCTGATATAAATTTAATCCACGCTGAACCAGTTTGTTGTTGAAAAACAATTGTCAACTTTTCCAGAGAAAATTGACATTGATCTGATTTTTTATCAATGTTATTGACTTGTGATGCACTGTTTTTGGAACCTTTCGTTTAGTAATGCATATTATTGGAATTTAATCTCTTCCTCTTGAAGATGATCACTTGGTGATCGAAACAACACGTGTCGAGATGTTAAAAATAACGGTTTACTGTTGGGATAAAACTCCAGTATCTAATATTCAATATTATTGACATCAATCATTCGTGACCAATATTTTTAGTGCACGATATCCAGGTCACATTTTATAGGCTGGATCCATTGAAAACAGCTATATTAAAATTCTCTGACTATTTAAGAATGACTCGGTTTAATGACTCGATGTAATTGAATTAGAAAACAAAAGTTGTTTATAGTACCTTTTTTTATTGATGATACTGATGTTTATTTGACAATTGAAGTACAGCAAAATTAACAAGGATGAATCGCTGTAGCTCTCATCAACTAAAATAATTTTTAAGTGCTTCTGTGAACATAAACTGCTTACCAACAATAATTCAAAAAATATAATATGCTATCATATAATAACAATAGCTAGTCTACAATAACCATCTATGGAATAAAATAAACTATTTAAATCTTTAAATTAATCGTGTACGTATAACAGAGATCAAACCGTGCCTGAAGACTGTATCGAGGACAGATACATACGTACTAGAAAATAAATATTTGGAAATAAAATCTCGAAGTATTCATATCTCCCAACTATCTACACCGTAGGTTTTGGTAAATGCCTGCTGAAAAACAACTACTTCCCCAACTAACACCACGCTGGATATTGAATTATATCCGCCATACATTTATGCAGGATACCTCCTCGAGGTTAATCTCGCTGATGTTTTTTGTTCATCCAGCAGCAGGATCATGCTGAAATTATTCGAGTAGATCGCCTACAGACCGGTTTCGAGCTATTAACTCTCATTAGTGTACTTATGTACATATTTTGAAATACTTCTATTACTATAAACAGTTCAGTTGCAAACATTATGAGGTACAGAGCGATTGAGGAAAAAAAATTGAAAGAAGTGATTGAAATTATATTTTTGATGCTATTGAATTGATTAATAAATGTGTTACTAGATGATCCTAATATTTATGAAGGAATGCAACCCACCTAAAGGTGGTGATGAAAACAATCGAAGGTTAGGTACGAGACAAACATCTTCGTACATAGGAATGTATGAATACCAGGAAAATTATAAAAATCATTAAGATTTGTTTAAAGTTTTTTTTTGGATGCATTTCACGGATAAAATAGCTACCAAAGTAGTAATATTAGACAATTGACATTATGTAATTAGCACAGATTTTGATATCTAAGAAATTACGCACATGTCGAAACTTTTTCAAAAGTAGTATGCTTATGTTGAACACATATTTTTATATAATACTCTCTGAAGTACAAATTTAGCGCTTTGATGCCTAAAAGACTATAATAAACCACCACTCTATCTAGTTTTTGAATTTTTTTATAAATCAGTTCAATGATCTACTTGTAAAATAAATATCCACATTATTTTTTTACCGAGATAATGAATGGTCAACACATATTTCTTACTCAGCCTCTTGAATATATCTATGTTCAAATTTCATTCAACTATATTATAAAACTACTGTTGATGATGACAAGCGTGCGTATCATTTTAAAACCAGCTGAAATATCAAGTAGTCGAAGAGAATGATCAAGCAGCAGGAAATCAAATTATCTAGATGTATTTCGAAATGAGATAATGACTAGGATTGAAATTACCTTCATTTAATATTGTCGACGATTGCGAAAGGGAATTGGAAAGAAACAAATAATAGATGCCTCACTTTTGCAAGACTAGCTGAAGAAGATATTCACAAAATAAATACCCAATGAAAAATGGAATGTTGATGGAATTACGAAACTATGTTAGCGGGATAATTACATACTGGCGTACAGCCTTAACGGTGGAGTTGAAAAAATCTTAAGTGAAGATTTACGTCAAAGTGAATGTTCAAGATGTCTCTTGGACATCTCTTTGACCCGAACCGCTGTGATTTAATATCGAAATATTCATCTTTCCTAACTACCTACACAGTAGGTTCTGGTAAATGCCTGCCGGCAACTACTTCCCCGGCTAATACCATGCTGGATATTGAATTATATCCGAGAGACATCCGAGAGACTCGTGAACAAAGTCCCAAGAGGGGAAGAAACATCTGACAGAG